TGTAAGTGCTATGGCACTCCAGTATAAACCACGTCACCCACAAAAGGGAAAACAGAAATAATGCTGGCCTTATTCTTTTCTCCTAACAACGTGGAACCCACAAAAACAACGGAGTAATGATGTTGACAAAGTTCTCGGGGAGAGAGAGCATGGGACTCATGGGTATCCAGCCAATATTCTAACCAGGGAGCTCTGAAGTAGAGGACAACCCCAGGAAAACAAAACAAAGCCAAACTAAAGAAGAAAAAAGACTGTAATAAAATCCAGGCAACCCATAAAATAATCAAAAGGAAGAGCGGAATGGGAAAACTATAACAACATATAGTTATACTTAAAAGCAAACACCTGGAGGATGCACAGCTATAACACAGATGTATATATCCATTCTGAAAAGTAGCAATAATACACACAGCATAATCAACAGGGTAAAATAGAATAGGCAAAAATCATAAGCAGTTCATCTTTCATTATAAAGAGACTGTAACTAGGGTCCTAAATTAAAAAAAAAAATTATTGTTTAAAGTATTACATATATCTCCTTTTTTCCCAATGGATCCCATCACCACCACTCCCGGCCCCCAGGACAAGCCCCCACTGCCCCAATGTCCCAGTCCATTGGTTATGCTAATATGCATGCATACAAGTCCTTTGGTTGATCTCTTATCCTCCCCTTCCCCGCCCCCTTTCCTGCCTTCTCTCTGAGGTTGGACGATCTGTTCAGTATTTCTTTGTCTCTGAATCTATTTTTGTTCATCAGTTTATGTTGATCATTATATCCCACATATGAGTGAGATCATGTGATGTTATCTTTCTTCAACTAGCTTATTTCACTTAGCATAATGCTCTCCAGGTCCATCCATGCTGTTGCAAATGGTAAAAGTTCCTCCTTTTTCTTTATATAGCAGTGTAGTAATTCATTATGTAGATGTACCACAGTTTTCTAATTCACTCATCTGCTGATGGGCACTTAGGCTGTTTCCGAATCTTAGCTATTTGTAAATTGTGCTGTTATGAACATAGGGGTGCCTATGTCTTTCTGATTGGTGTTTCTGGTTTCTTGGGATATATTCCTAAAAGTGGGATCATTGGGTCAAATGGGAGTTCCATTTTTAATTTCTTGAGGAATATCCATACTGTTTCCCACAGTGGCTGCACCAGTCTGCATTCCCACCAGCAGTGCACCAGAGTTCCTTTTTCCCCGCATCCTCTCCAGCACTTGTTGATTTGTTGAGGATAGCCATTCTGACAGGTGTGAGATGATACCTCATTGTTGTTTTGATTTGCATCTCTCAGATGATTACTGACTGAGCATGTTTTCATTTGTTTCTCGGCCTTCCATATGTCCTCTTTCGAAAAGTGACTATTTAGGTCCTTTGCCCATTTTTTTTTTTTATTGGATCATTTATCTTCCTTTTGTTATGTTGTATGAGTTTCCTGTAAATGTTGGAGATTAAACCCTTATTGATGATAACATTGGCAAATATGTTCTTCCTTGCTTGTTTTGTTGATGTTGCTGTGCAGAAGCTTTTTATTTTGATGTAGTCCCATTTGTTTATTTTCTCCTTAGTTTCCATTGCCCTAGGAGAGGTATCAATAACTAAATTAAAATTTATTTTAAAAAATGCAATTCCAACCTCAATGATTTTCCTTAAAACGTTGAAATAATATTTAATATATATGAGGTAATGAAATATATACGTAAACTTTAAAGGAAATATTTAGGTACCGTCTAGTTCTCAACAATCTCTTCAGTAGTAAGCCAGTTCTCTTTTATTCAGTTATATTAAAAACTAAATATGTTTACATTTAATATTAGCATGTATAATTTGATCCTCTTTTAAATAAAGTATTATTCTTGCTCCCCTAAAACTACATAAAAATATGTCTTAAATTCTTCAAGCGTTAACATGGTTTACTCCTAGGTGGTAGAATTCTTAGTGATTTGTTGCCTTTTTCTTTGTACATATCTATAGGTCTTTAATTTTCTAAACAATGTGCATATATCACTTTCATTAAACAACAATTACTTTTTTAAAAATGTAGCGCCTTGTGAGGTCTTTAAAAAAATAAACGAGTCATGCTGACATGTAGGTTTCTCTGGGTGGAGCAAGACAATAAGAGAAAGGGAGGCGGCTTCCAAGATCTGCCCATCTGGAGAGAGCTGCTCACCGACCCGGACAACGTGCCAGCTCTCCTGCACTGACTGCCAAGAGTGCCACGGTCCACGGTTTTGTCTCTCCCACTCTCTACATCTCAAAGTTTCAATCTTCCAAAATGCAAAACACTTAACTTTATTTTTTATTTTTTTACAAACATTTAAATGGCAAGCCCTGTTCCAAGTGCTTTACATACATTAGCTTATTTAGTTCCCAGAACAACACAATAAGATGAATATTACTATGATGCACCATGTTCAGAAACGGAGGCACGGTGAAATAAGTTAGCTGGTAACGTGAGTACCTGTTTATAAACTACTAGGGCTGGCATGATTTTCTGTGTAACCTATATGTCACCTTTCATTCAACTGATATTTACTGAGCACCTGCTTAACAGTTAACACTTCTAGATGCCAATAGATCTGAGGTGTTCAGGCGTTCAGCAGTGGACACTGATAAGAGTTTGAAAATAAGTATATAAACAGGGAGAGGAAGGGGACCCAGCCTGTGATTCCAGGATGTTCTCTCTAACGTCCTCCACATTTCCCATGGCCTGGCACCCATTGCCATTGCATATAGCTACTGTAGAGTTTTGATGGGTGGCTGGAAATGATGATTCTGAATCATAATTTATATCAGTGGTTTGCAAACTGGTAGCCCCACAACATACATCTCCTGAAGAGGCTGAGAATTGCCTTTGTATTGAATCCACAGTGGTTTTCAAAAATCAGAATTGCTCTTATTATACCGTTACTTAAATAGGTAGAAACAGAATAGTCATACATTTCCTATTTATAGTGCTAATAAATCAAAATAAAAATAATAAAAGTCACCAAAACTTCATAAATAACAAAATTGAAGTTAATGTTAGTTTATGCCAGAAAAAAAATTGTTGAGACATTTTGAAATGACAAAAAAAAAAAAAGTGACTGGGTAACTGTCTTTTATTATTTTTAGCCTATTTTACAAAACTGTAAGCTGTAAAAATTGATGGTAATGAAAGTGATCTTTGTCCATAGAAATATAAATGCTTCATGTGTGTCCATTAGATGCAGTATATTACTGCTCTGTGGATACTGACAAGCTTGACACTATTTCTAAATATACTTCAGCAATCCTATTGCCTTCTGCATTTTAAATTCTCCTTTAAACAGGCTATAACGTCATACTGGTCCTTTCATTGATTAAAAAGTTAAAATCTTTGACAAATGTTCATTTTATATTTGCATGAGAGTGGTAATTTTACCTTTTCTAAACATTATCCTTTAACCTTCATTTATTGTGGCACATCAGCTCTGCGGATATGAAATTGCCTCTATTTCCCCTGTTTAAACACCTGGCAGGCGGAAGCTGAGCTCATAATGCCACATTCTGCCCTCTGGTGCATCTGTAGTACCTTGGGCATGAGTTGTAGTCCCAGGAACTTTTACACATGTGCTTACACTCACATGCCTATATTGTTGAGGTTTTGGAAACAAAGTCTGGAGCTGACCTTGGACCTTGGGGCAACCTTCTTATGAGCCTACTTACTTCCCCAACTATCTGCTCTCTTCTCCTTCCATGCCTGGCCCATATGTCTGGGCAGGGGCCTGCTGAAGAGATTCCTATAAACCAACTTGGGCCCCAGGGCAGTTAGAGACTTTAGGGCCTTAGAAGTGAGATTTATTCTTGAGGAGTCCTTTGGGTTGGTTTGACTTGTGCAACCTGCCCCTCAAAACAACCTCAGAAGTTGCTCAGAAGGGGGTGAGGAGAAAGAACTTTCAAGAATGGGTAGAACATGTTCATTTCTTAGCCTCTGGCCCTGGGCCAATCAACATGGTAACAACCACTACCCATGGGCTATTGTGTGAGTACTGGAAATGTGGCTAGTGCTACTGATAAATGACATTTTTAACTTTAATTTAAATTTAAAAACTGATATTCTATTATTTGAAAGCTCAGCATAATTGGAACTGTTTGGTTATGTGATCTATTTTTTAACCATACATTTTATATATAAATTTTATGAAATATAAATACTAAACAAGTATTTTATTTTTACTTTTATTTCTTTTTTCAGAGAGAGGAAGGGAGAGGGAAAGAAAGGGAGAAATATCCATTGGCTGCCATGCATCCCTTACTGGGGATCCAGCCCTCCACAACCTGGACCTGTGCCCTGACAGGGAATTATACCGGTGACCTCTTGGTGCATGGGGTGATGTCAACCAACTGAGCCTCATCGGCCAGGGTCAGAACATGTATTTCTTATGACAATTTAGCTCCTGGATTGCAATATGTTGCAAATTTAAAATATACACATGATTTAAAAGACTTATGCAAAAAAAAAAAAGTAAAACATTCCATTAATAGTTTTTCTTTGATTACATGTGAAATGATAATATTTTGAATATACTGGGTAAAATAAAATATACTATTAAAATTGATTTCACCTTTCTTTTTTTTTCTCTTTTTTTTCAAACATCGTATTATACAATTTGATATTCTATGCTAGGTTTTCATCTTTGGGATAGGACTCTCTGGACCATGAGAAGCTTTCCATTTCCTGTCCACTTCTTTCTTTATTTACCAAAGGCACCCAAGTGATCCTGAACCCCGCTTTTCTGCTTTGGTTTCCTAAACCCTGCAGCTTTGTGTCTCCTTCCTAGGTGATTGCTTTATCTATTTTTTTCCAGTGGCTCCCATAAAAGTGTTTCCAGCTTCTGAAGGATAACCCTATTGTCATTACAGAGGTGGGCTGGCAATTCCTAACTGGCCGCTAGAGGGAGCTGCGTCGCTGAGTGGTTGCCGAGCAACTGGTGGCCCGGAAGAAGTTCTCCGCCCTCCAGAGGGGCGGGCGCTCGTTGGATGACTTCCGGCGGGGCGGGCGCTCGCTGGATGACTTCCGGCGGGGCGTGCGAAGTCCCGGCGATTCCGCTTTGGCGGCGGCTGCGGCGGCGGCGGCGGCGGCGGCGGCGGCGTCATGACCACGCTCCGGGCCTTCACCTGCGATGACCTGTTCCGCTTCAACAACATGTGAGTGAGATGCGCCCTGGGTGAGCCTGGTGGCGGCTCCGCCTCCCCCGGGCCGGGATCCGAGGAGTCAGTCAACCCTGCCCGGCCGCCACTAGTGCCTCCTGGGGGGCTGCAGGGCCCGAGGCCCGGGCGGGGGCGGACGTACGGACTGCCCTGCAGACCTTGACGGAGGCGCCCCAACTTCATCCCGGCGCCCCGCGGCCTCTCCGGTGGCTGTGGGGCTGCGCTGGGGCGGAGGTGGGGGCGGCCTGTGAGTCTGGCCGGCGCCCGGCCCTGCTACCTCCCGGCTGGGACCCGCTTCTTCTTGCCCTGACACCCCAAAAGTATGGCCTGGAGGTCGCCGCGAGGTCAGCAGCGGATAGCGGAGTGTGTGATGCAGCCCGCGTGGTGGTAGCGGTACCTTGGGAAGGAGTGACATGACGAGGGGGTCAGGCACCCGCAGCGGGTCCTCCCGCGCTCGGGGTTTGGTTTTGTACCCGTTCCTGGAGCGGCGCCCCGGCCTGGACCCCTCATTTCTGCTCTGCAGTCAGGGCGGGGGCCTGCTGGTGGAGGCCCCGTTGTTACAGTTTCTTCCAATGCGAGTTGTCAGGATATGTGACTGGCAGGTCCCATTTCCCCCTGCAAGTTTTTTGTCGTTTGTGAACTTATGAACATTTAAAGAGTTGACAGTGTTACCTTGAACACCTGTGTAGACACATCAGCGGGATGGTACAGTAAACATGTTGCTACATTGGCTCCATTTGCTACATCCATCCAGCCATCTGTCCAATTATCCCACATTCATCCATCCACCCACCCACCAATCCCACATCCACGTTTGAAAGATAGATAAAATGTCGATAATGACGAAGAAGGAAGTTGGGAAGAAAGAAAGGGGAATTAAGGTGGGAAAGCTGAGGCGTGGCGGGATGCCTGTCGGGGTGTCTCTGTAACTAAGTAGCAGAGAGAAAGGGTGTAATGAAAGGACATCTCCATTGTTGAGGGGTTTACACTTGATCCTGTTGGAAGAACGCTCTGTTTGAAGCTGTGTAACTAAGGCAATTTGTGTGGAGCTCTCGCTGATTCCCGCGCTGGCTGTAGTAACAATTAATCCTCACAGTTCTCTGAGTAGGTAGTCTCGTTACACCCATTTTATGTCTGAGCAAACTAAGGTACTGAGAGTGCAAGCGAATTGTCCCAGGTGTTAGGGCCTTGCAGTGAGAGTGAGCCAATCAAGGAATCTAATCCAAGGAGGTTGGCTACAGCAGTGCTTCTTAACGAGCGGTCCCTGGGAACATTTTGGAAATGCAATCTCTCGGGTGTTTGAGAATCACTGCTCTGAAGCCGGAGCCCTTTAACACAGAGCTGTGTGGAATAGGGGTGAGTAGAGGAGGCTATACCAGGCAGGTAAGCCCCAGAGGAGGTCTTGGCGATGGCCCAGAGGCGGCAACTCAACAAAGGCTTGGGTTTGGGTGGTTCAGACCTGGGAGGTGACAGTGTGCCTTGAAACTTCAGAAATAGCAAAGGCAAAGCCTCTTGGAGAATCAGTTTTAACTGAAAATCCGGGAAGGGACAACACTGTTTTATGTGAAGATGAGTCGAGGAGAAGGGAAATAAGCATGAGATGTGCAATAAAACATTACATTTCAAAGAATCATTCAGTCTAACATGGCCTTTTATTGTATGTCACTAGAGCGGTGGTTCTCAACCTTTCTAATGCTGCGACCCTTTAATACAGTTCCTCCTCATGTTGTGGTGACCCCCAACCATAAAATTATTTTCGATGCTACTTCATAACTGTAATTTTGCTACTGTTATGAATCATAATGTAAATATCTGTGTTTTCCGATGGTCTTAGGCCCTACAGCAGTGGTTCTCAACCTGTGGGAACTGCTTGCAGGGTCGCCTAGAGGAACTCCGCTTCCTTCCCACTTTCTCCTGTTTCTCACTCTGATTAGGGCACTTCAGTAGAGAACTCTGAGAATCACGGGATTAGGGTGTTGCAGCAAGAACTGAAAGCAGCAGTGGATGTAGAAACATTAGAATTAATTTAACAAATAGTTTATCCTTAGAAAATTATCTGCATACCTATTTATGGAACCATACTAGTGAATGAAACAGGATAAAACATTATCTTTAGGGAATTTACATTTTAGAGAGGAAAACAAAGTAAGAAAACACATGCAGAACTTAGTGCCCAGTACAAAGGAGATATGAGAGCAGTAAAGGGAAGTAGGAGGTGAGTGAGGATTCTACTTCAGGTAGCGTGGTAGGGAAGGTGTCATAGAGAAATGCCTAGGGAAAAGGCAGTGAGTCCTGTGGGTGTTAGGGTCAGGGGCACTTCCAGGCAGAGAGACTAGTGAGTGGATACCGTTCAGACAGAGAGTAGTCCAGTGTGGCTGGAGCAGAGCGAATGGGAGTGGGAGGGGACTCGGTCACAGTCAAAGGGTTACATCTTGGAGAAGCCATCGTAGGACTTGGGATTCTCTGTCAAGTGCACTGAGATACCCAGGTGGAGAACTCAGGCAGCTGGGCATAGAAGTTTTAAGTTTAGATTTGGGCCAAAGATAGAAATTTGGGGGTTAACACTCTATAGATGGTATTGAAACCGGGAATCTAGGGATGTAAGTGCTGGAGTGAGTGTAGATAGAAAAAGAGGCTCTGGGATGGTGCCCTAGGGCTGTGGTCGGCAAACTGCAGCTCACGAGCCACATGTGGCTCTTTGGCCCCTTGAGTGTGACTCTTCCACAAAATACCAAGGCCTGAGCGAGTCTATTTTGAAGAAATGGTGTTAGAAGAAGTTTAAGTTTAAAAAATTTGGCTCTCATAAGAAATTTCAATCATTGTACTGTTGATACTTGGCTCTGTTGACTAATGAGTTTGCCGACCACTGCCCTAGGGCGCAGGCGTCCTCAAACTTTTTAAAGTGGGGGCCAGATCACGGTCCCTCAGAGAGCTGGAGGGCCGGACTATATGAACTACTAATTCCTACTGTAACACCTCGGCTGCGCTCACTGCCCAAAAAACCTGGCGGGCCGGATCAGACTCCTCTGCGGGCCGCAGTTTGAAGACGCCTGGCCTAGGGCATCAAGTGTTGAGTGAAGACCTCGTGGTCTGGTGCTGGGGGAGGAAAACCTGATGGTGGGATGATAGAAGCTGAGCAAGGGGAGTACTCAAGGTGGAAGGAGTGGGGAACTGTGTCAAGAGCTGCTGGTGGCTAATTGTAAAGGAGGTTTGTACACTTCTTCCAGAGGGAGTGGAGAATTGCAGGAGCAGGTCTAAGGAATTGCCAGGTAGTAGGGTCTGCTTAACGGAACTCTAAGCATGGTTACAGGAGAACAAGTAAGAGTTCAGTGGAGGGAACATGCTGAAGCTTTTTTCTTACTGTTGTCTTTTCTTTGTGAAATAAGAAGCTGAGATCCAGGAAGGAGGTGGCCTGTTGGAGAGTTGAGGCAAGAGGAGAGAATGTGTTTACAGCAGGTGATTCTCTGGGGCCCTTCAACATTATTTTGGGGCTTTGCAAGGTCAGAGCTATTTTTATGATAACACTGAGATGGTTTTTTGCCTTTTGCACTCTCATTCTCTCACGATGCATGGTGGAGTTTTCCAGATGTGTCATCTTACAACAGCAAGTATAACAGACAGATATGAGAATCTGGTCTTCTATTAGGCCAGACATTAAAAAGATCTGTAAAATTGTTAAAACAATGCCATTCTTATTACTACATTTTATTTTTAAATAAAGTGTTTTATTTTTTTTTTTCAAATACATCACATAACTTTATGGTATATCTGGGGAAATGCATTATTTATAAGACACGGTGAGATAATTTATCTTTAGCAATATAATGACATATGAAGAACGTAAGTGTGGATGCTCCCAAAGCAACACCATCCTAGTCCGTAGAATTTGGCTGATTGTCCTGCCTTCACACTGCTAGTTCAGGTAACACCACAACCGAACATCACTTTCTTCCTACTTTACAATCCTCTCTCTGTGGTAATGATATTGGCAAGTTCATACAGAAAAATGGCTTTTAAAAATGTATTGCTCTAGTAATAAACTAATCAGGTGCATGACTTATAGTATCAAATAAATGAAATACTCAAGAGGAGTACATATGCTAAATGTCCAGTCATCCAGTTGGCTTTTCAACCAATCAAAGCATTTTATATATATATATATATATATATATATATATATATATATATATATATATATAGCCAGTGACCGGAATGACCAGTTGCTATGATACCCACTGTGGCCATCGAACCAGCCCGATCTGGTGGTGGTGGTGGTGGGTAGGGGGGATGACCTCTTGCGGTCCCTTCCCCTAGCCGGTCCCACCTCTGATCTGCATATTCCACCCCAGTCAGCCCACAGACCCTCCCCCAGGCTGGCCCTGACCCAATCTCTTGCAGTCACTCCCCCTTGCCCAACCCCACCCCAGATTGACCCCCCACACACACCCTCCAATCGCGTGGGGTTGGCTGGCCAGTCTCCCATAGCCCCTCCCCCAGCCAGCTCCACCCCTGATTAGTCCTCCCACCCACACACACACACATACACACACACACACACACACACTCACTCCATTCAGGGGTGGGGCTTGCCGGCCCACTGTCCAGTCTCTTCCCATGGCTGGCCCTGCCCTAATTGAACCCCAATTGGGGTGGGCTGGCTGGCCAACCTCCCACTGAACCCCACCCATGCACAAATTCCTACACTGAGTCTCTAGTATTATATGTTAATGATATGCTAAGGCTGCTCAACCGCTCGCTATGACTTGCACTGAACACCAGGTGGCAGATGCTCCAACTGGTAGGTTAGCTCAGTGTTTTTCAACCTTTTTTGGGCAAAGGCACACTTGTTTCATGAAAAAAATCACGAGGCACACCACCATTAGAAAATATTAAAAAATTTAACTCTGTGCCTATATTGACTATATATAAAGTAATTCTCTTGAATAGGAATCAAATAAACACAAAGAAAGTATTTTATAATTACTTTATTATGAAATATTAAGTAAATAAAATAGTGAAAAATTATAAAATACTTGTCTTGTCTGCACCTACGGCACACCAGGCAACAGTGTGCCGCGGAACAGCGGTTGAAAAACGCTGGGTTAGCTTGCTGTTGGAGTCTGGCAATTGGGACTGAGCGAGATGGGCTAGACATGCCTTGCTATGTTTCTTCCCTGGCCCCGATTGTGCACCCGTGGGGTCCCTCAGCCTGGCCTGCACCTTCTCGCAGTCCGGGACCCCTTGGGAGATGTCTGAGAGCCAGTTTCGGCTGATGGCAGAACAACTGGTTGCTATGATGTGCACTGACCACCAGGGGCAGACACTCTGCAGAAGCTGCCCCCTGGTGGTCAGTGCGCTCCCACAGGGGATCACTGCTCAGCCAGAAGCCAGTACTGGCTAACAAGCACAGCTGCAGTAGTGGGAGCCTCTTCCACCTCAGCAGCAGCAGCAGTCGGACATCCCCCCAGGGCTCTTGGACTAAGAGAGGGTGCAGGCTGGGCTGAGGGAGCCCCCATTCCTGAGTGCATGAATTTCATGTCTGGGTCTATTTCTGGGCTCTCAGTTCTGTTCTGTAGAGGGCCCCTTGGGAATGCACATGGATGACCTTTAATTACCATTAGCTGAACTCTAGGGTAGGCAGAGCCATGCCCTGTGAACAAGTTTCCCCAAAATGTGGGAGACTGTTATAAGTACTGATTTCTTATCTTTATCCATGTGCTTGGAATGAGGAACCAATAGGACCTTGACTTATCCAGGTCTTGATATGCTAAATCCCAGGAATGAGGGAATGAATAGGACCTGGCACACCCAAAACTTCTTTGGCCTTAAACCCCCCCCCCCCTTTGGAAATAAATGCCCTGTGTTGTCTGTAGTGGTTTGTTGACTGTCCTTCCATCAGAGTGACAGCCCTCTACCTGGATCCCAGCTTGAATCTATTTCTGTGTCTTGTTCTCTTTTTTTCCTCTCTTTAATTTCTTTTTTAAAGAAGCATAGCACAGAATACATTTTTTAAAAAATATATTTTATTGATTTTTTACAGAGAGGAAGGGAGAGAGATAGAGAGCTAGAAACGTCGATGAGAGAGGAACATCGACCAGCCGCCTCTTGCACACCCCCTACCGGGGATGTGCCCGCAACCAACGTACATGCCCCTGACCGGAATATAACCTGGGACCTTTCAGCCCACAGACCGACGCTCTACCACTAAGCCAAACCGTTTTCGGCTCGCTCTTTAATTTCTTAATCCCCAGCTCCTCCACTCAGGAATCTGTCCTTTCTGTGCAGGTTGCGGAAAACAGAGGAACAGCCCCCCACACTGTTCCATTGGTCTCTATCTGTGTTTCTACCCATACCATACTATTTTGATATGTAGTTTTATAATATTCTTTGAAGTCAGGGAGTGTGATACTTCCAGCTTTGTTAATTTGTCACAGGATTACTTTGGCTTTTGGGGGTCTTTTGTGGTTACATACTACAAATTTTTTTTAAAAAGTTTATTCATGCGAAATGGGTGAAAAGGGTTAAAAAGTACAAAACTTTGTTATAAAATAAATGTCATGGGTATATAATGGATAGTATGATGAGTATAACTAATAATACTGTATTGTATACTTAAAAATTGCTAAGCGAGTAGATCTTAAAAGTTCTCATTACCACAGTAACATTTTTGCAACTGTCATTTTGCAACATGGCCATTAGGCAATTTAAACAATCCTCCTGAGGCCTGAAGTTGATTTTAAAATGGATTTTGCATGTTTTGATTTCCTTGTGCATATTATTTTTAATGGGCTTAAACTGGTTTTGTAAACACTGCTTACTACTGTCATTTCTCATTTCTTTCAGTAACTTGGATCCACTTACAGAAACTGTATCCTTTAAAAAAAAAAAAAAGTTAAATGAAGGCTTACTAAAAGGAAAATAGAGAAACAAAGGAAAAAAACAGACCAGTACTGAAAAACTTGAAAGCCTTAGATCAGGAAACATCATAAGAAACATTGAAAACAATTATATAAACTGGGAAGATCTGTCTTAAACCTGCCTAACAAGCTGCTAATATAGTGACCTCATAAATCTGTAACAATACAGCTACCCTGCCCAGCTTCCCCTCGGTAGTATGGGTGTACACAACAGAAAGGGGCGAGTTCAGCAAGATGGGTTACTTTTGTGTGTTGTGAATGAAGTCTGGAAATGACGAGCAGTCCAGGGCAGGTGGTGGTTTCATGTAGTCACCAGTGACCAGGTTCTGCACTTGAACCACTCTGCCATTCCCAGGGTGGTCTTGGCTTTCCTATCCCATGGCTGTCAAAGCATACATCACATCCATGTTCCTGGCAGGAGGATCAACAGAGGGGAAGGTAAAAATACCCTTCGCTGCATTTTGTTGATCAGTACCTGCCTCATTTATGTAGCTTTAAGAGTCCCAGAATGTCCCTCCTTTATTTTTTTAAAAATATATTTTGATTTTTTTTTTTTTTTTTACAGAGAAGGTAGAGGGATAGAGAGCTAGAAACATCGGTGAGAGAGAAACACCGATCAGCTGCCTCCTGCACACCCCCTCCCCCGTCCTCCCCCAGGGATATGCCCCCAACCAATGTACTGGAATCGAACCTGGGACCTTGAATCCGCAGACTGACTTTCTATCCACTGAGCCAAACCGGTTTTGGCAAGAATGTACCTACTTTAAATTGGGGCTTATTACTAAAGTGGAGAAAGGATTTGGGGTAACAGTGAGCAGTATCATGTTCCCCAATAGAAAAATGGGCAAGGATGTGTGAAGATAGGGTACTCTGGATTATGTCACACTAACAGACAATCCCCACATCCTGAGTGGCTTAAAACACAAAGTTGTATTTCTGGGTTAGGGGTAATATTAATTGATCATTTAATATAAGAGGCTAGTGAACATATTAAGAGTTCAGTCTTGCCAGTCAAAAGACATACAAATTACAACCAAATTGTGATGTCTTACTAAAAATATCTAGAATTTAAAAAAAAGAGATAAAACTCAGTGCTGATGAGGGCAAGGTTATAAGAACATTCTCATAAATTGCCAGTGATGGCATAAACTGCAACATTTTTTTGAAAGCCACTTGGGCAATGTAATTTAAATTTTTATTTTATTTTATTGATTTCAGAGAGGGAGAGAGAGAAACATTAATGTTGAGAGAGAATTGCCTCCTGCATGCCCCACACTGGGGATCGAGCCGTCAATCCTGGCATGTGCCCTGGACGGGAATCAAACCAGGGACCTTCAGTCCACAGGCTGATGCTCTATCCACTGAGCCAAACCGGCGAGGATGGCAATGTAATACTTAGTAATTACAATTCCTAGAAGCAGAAAATAATAAGCCAGAGAGGCAATTATGTCAGGGTATGACAAACTTAAGGTGCAAGGGCCAAGTTTACACACTGCCTTTTTTTTTTTTTTTTTTTTTAAATAATTTTACTGGGACACAGCCCTACTAATTTTCTATTATCTATGGTCTTTGTCCATGGCCTTCACAGTTTGAGTAGTTGCAAGAGACCATATGGACCACACAGCCTAAAATATTTACTATGTGGCTCTTTACAGAAAATGTTTGTTAACCCCTTAGTTATGTCATTACAAAAATATTTATTGCTGTTATTAAAAATTGGGGATAATATTCATTCATAGCAATAAGGAAATGACTTAAGTTTATCTCTATTCATAAAGGATTTTAAAAAGTTTGAGAAAGTGGAAACAACCTAGACATCCACTTTCAAGAGGTAATATGTCTTTTCACACAGTGGAATACTATATAGCAGTAAAAACTAATGGTAGTTTGTTTTATTTTTTTATTTTTTATTTTTTTTTAAATTGAATTAGACAACAATCATTTTAATTTCGTGATGACATTTGACATAATTTTTTTTTTATATTTTATTGATTTTTTACAGAGAGGAAGAGAGAGGGATACAGAGTTAGAAACATCGATGAGAGAGAATCATCGATCAGCTGCCTCCTGCACACCCCCTACCGGGGATGTGCCCGCAACCCATGTACATGCCCTTGACTGGAATCGAACCCGGGACCTTTCAGTCCCCAAGCCGACGCTCTATCCATTGAGCCAAACCGGTCTCGGCCCGTTTTATTATTTTTAGTTTCAATGGGCTATGTTATTAAAAAAACAAAACAGTTGAGTGGGAAGAGAAAAAAAAAAAAAAAGAAAGAAAAGAAACTCCGAAGTTTTCATTTATATTTTAAAAACTAGGACCTATTAAAGACCTTTCCATGTTTTAAAAAAAGTAAAAGGATTTTGAATGACACAAATTTTCACCACAAAGTAAGGGAAAGTATTAGGATGCATATTAACTTACATGGTTTGCTTCCAGTTACCTGTAAAGTTTACAGTAAAAGTCTCATAATCCAGGTGAAGCCATATTTGAAAGTAACCTACCAGCTCCTAGTGATTGGTGAGTGGGCACATTGGAGGAGAGACAGTTATGGTTGTGTTTTAAGGTTGCATGGTAGGAAGACTGGCTGGCCTGTCATTTTAGGGGTTAAGTTTGAAGAGTATTGAAAATAAAGCTTGTCCTTCAGAGGAGAGTTTGAAGAATTTACTAAACAGGTTTTCCAGGAACTTAAAAATATGTATGAGTGATGATGTCCCTTCATGGAATTGCATCAGCAAGCTGACATTAAGGAGAAATATAGGAATGAGCACATATTAGTAAGGAGAACAGGATTGAAGAGTTAAGTAATGAGCATTCACTCTTAAGTCATCTTTTATTTGCATAACTAAAAATGGAGAATTGAAGTCTGTGGAAGGGAAAACTGGGTAATTGCTAAGTTGCCTCTGGAAGTACTTACTGTTTTGTTTTCCAAGATAAACAGTTTATTAAATAAATTTCTCATCCAAAAATATAGAAATCTGTACACCTCTGCCACAGTTGATACACATGAACTGTACAAATTTATACCAGTTCATAATTTACCAATAAAAAACTAGAAAGTACTTTGTTTTAAAAATTCGGTCTCAGAGCTGAAGCTAAAGTAGTCATTAATTTTCCAGTGCAATTATGGAAAAATAAACATACTGAGCCATCTATGTATGAAGCAACAGGGATAGAGTTAACATTACTCATAGTTTAAGAGAAGACAGATTTTAAACAAATAAGAATATCCGGTGAGGATAAGGGCTATGCAGAGATTTAGATACAATGAGTCCTGGTTCAGTTTTCTGTTGGATGGTGAGGTCTCCATTCACATTTGAGGTGGTATGTTCAGGTACATTGTTAAAAAATTAGTGCTAACCTAAATATTTCCTGTAATGATACAATTATAGAAAATATACTATATATAGAGCTGGGGATAAAGTAACAATATCCTTAATAAGGGGAACTTTATCCCATTTATTACTTGTTACTGCCCATGTCTCTTCACACTCCTTAACAAGACTCTATCTAGTATGGGATTCCTTTCTATTTACAGTATCTTGCCCATTGGCCAGAGTATTTCATTGTTGCAGAGGCACCTGGTGGAGAGTTAATGGGCTATAGTAAGTATAATACCACCAATACTATTTTGGATAGGGAGTTAAGATTTTAATATGGGTTTAAACTGGTTTAGAATGCTAAAGAATTGAAAGTATAAACACGATGTCTATGTTTCTTTTAACCATTAGAAACTCAGTGATCCCTTCTTTGTTAGGCATTATGCTGGGACCAGCTGATATAGCAGGGAACCAACCGAACACGGTGTCAGTCTTCTTGGATCTTTCAAACTATATGTTTCTATATAGTTTATGACACATAATACAAGTATTATAGCATCTTCATTGAGTAGCATTATTAACAAAAACTTAGCTATGGATTGTCTGTTAAGTATACATGTATACCTGCACATATACCTATGTAAAATGTAGGTATTTTAAAAAATACATATTCTGGTTCTGTGTTCAAAATCAGTTATGTTTTTAGTATATCATTTCTTTAAAAAAAAACTTTCTAATTCTGATTCTACAACTAGATTTAGCATGACATTAACAAGTGAAATTCAAATAAAAGCACTATTAACCATTAGGTAGATGACTTTAAGATTTAAAAACTAAAATTTTTTCATTAGTGTCCTTTATACCAAAAATGTACCAAACAGTAATTCTATCTGTGTAAGCCTGTGTTTATTAATGAATGCAATCTTTTGTTGGCAGTTATGGGTAAAGCAGAAGGCTCTGTTGCTAGGGAAGAATGGCATGGGCATGTCACAGCTCTGTCTGTTGCTCCAGAATTTCGACGCCTTGGTTTGGCTGCTAAACTTATGGAGTTGTTAGAGGAAATTTCAGAAAGGTGAGATCTTTATTTTTCTAACAATTTATGAGCCGTGATCATTTGATTTTTCTCTATGTGAACATTTATAAGACCTTTTTCCTTCAGGCTGAGTAAATTTAATGCATTACAACTTACAGAAGTTTCATTTTTAGCCTCCAGTAGTCCTTACAACAATTCTGTAACATACTCAGAATGGTATTGTCCATATTTTGCCCGAAGAAAATTAAAGCAAAACAAGTGGCTTGCCACAGGCTTATAAGCTGGGTAATTGGTGGAATCAAATATTATACTAGCCATCAAAATTTTTTTTTACTGCTCTTGCCACTATGGGAGATATTCCCATATATTCCCATATTCTTTGTTAACATTGCCCTTGGCATCTTACTGATTTTTTTCACAGTGCCCCTTGGCCAAAAGGAAAAAGTTGAGTCTTAAGCAGTTATGCCCTAACACACTAGTAGCTATTTACGGGGAGGAAAAAAATTGAAAGAAAAAATATTTTTTTTTTCCTTGTGGTTATCGACTAATGAGATTTGTGCTCTTGTTGGTATTGTATTCCTTTTCAAACCCTGGAATGGATTGATACAACCACCTGCATCCCTGTTTCACATTCGTTTTCATGTGGTACTTTATTTTTTTAATCATAGAAAATACCCAAAATCTGGCTTGATAAAGGTAGTCATCAAAAGGAATGTAACATGAAGTAATGTTGTATTCTTGAATTACATCAAAATAGTAGTTTGTTAGTGTCTGATATGTAAGGTTTGTTTGTGCTTTCCCCGAACATTTGAAATATCCTACAGCACATGAGTTTTAGGCACCTTGGGGCGCCCTGGAGCAGTTTGGGAAACTGCCAACATTATGGCTTTTTATTGATTTTTTACAGAGAGGAGAGTAGAGGGATAGAGTTAGAAACATCTACCATCTGCCTCCTGCACCCCTCCCACTGGGAATGTGCCCCTACCGAGATATTATACATGCTTTGACCAGAATTGAACCTGGGACCTTCCAGTCCACAGGCCGAAACTCTATCCATTGAGCCAAACCAGAGCAACATTATTGCTTTTAAAAAGAGCTATTGTAAATATTAAACATCCTTATTAAGTGAGATTAAAGAGAGAACCCCTCCTGCCAACCTATTCTAGAAGAGATGAGATGTGTAAGTCAAACCAGTTGTCAAGCTGCCATTTCCCCCTTAACTCTAAATGCTTAAAAGTATATATAAAGGGTATAGCTGCTGAGAAGTACTCTGCTTTACACTTAATTGATGTTTTAAAATAACCCTGGCTTGTAAATGCTTTTAGCCAGGTTGGTAGCAAGAGGAACTCTGAAGTTCATTCAGAGAAGAGGAAATAGTGATAGCCAAAAAGGAAATCAACTGTAGTCCCTAAGAATACCTAAGATTTAAGTGATCTTTATTTGTATGGATGTGTGTGTATATGCCAATATCCATCCATACATGTATATACATGTATACATTAAAAATAGAAACAGTATGTAACTTCAAACAAGTAGGGAAAAAATAGAATGACAAATCACTTTAAAACAAGGAAGAAAAAGGCAAAATAAATAAAAAACATGAATTAAGATGGTAGCTGTTAATCAAATATTTTCACTAATTACAACAGTAAACGTTAATAGACTAAGTCGAATTAGTCCAATAATTGAGGACATTATGCTAAGTGAAATAATCTAGTTATAGAAAGACAAATACTGCATGATCCCACTTACATGAGGTATCTAAGAGTGGAATGGTGGTGGCCATGGGCTGGGCATAAAGTTTCAGTTAAATAAGATGAAAAAGCTCGAGTCTGCCATACAGCATTGTACCTATAGTCAGCAATAATGTACTGCTCATTTACAATTTATTAAGATCTCATGCTGTGTTATGAGATAAAATTGAAAAAAAAGAATATTGTTAGGACTGTATTTACAGGAAATATATATAAAGATTAGATATAGAAAGATTGAAAGAAATTTTTTAAATTATAAAAATTAAAAGACAGCTGGTATACTTAAACAATTATCACAGTATAGTTCAATAATTACCAGCTTAAAGAGAGTCACTGCATATTAATAAAAGATCTAATCCATCAGGAAGTTGTAATAATAAAATTATTTACATACTCAGGGACATATATTGTAAGTAAAAATGCAACACTTGGCAAAACTGCATTGAAAAATAGACAAATCATTACCACAATGGGAGACCTAAACATGTGTTTTTCTAATAGGACAATAAGACAAACTGATTAAGGATATAGAACAGGGGTCTACAATTTTTTTTTTTTCTCGGCCAAATAGTAAAATATTTAGGCTTTGTGGGCTAAGGTCTATTGTGCAGAAATCTCAGTACAATCTTAGTAAAATGGATTCAGCAATTCATAAAGAGGATGCTGTATCAAGGGAAGGTTATTTTAACATTAGAAAATCTGTAAGTATATTCCACCACTGTAATACATTAAAGGAGAACTATAAGTAAATGCAAAAAATGCTTTGATAAAATTCAATATTCATTCATGATTAAAAACTTGATCAAATTAGGAAATAGAAAGGGAGAACTTCCTTAAACTGAAAAGAGTATCTGAAAACAAAACAAAACAAGTAGTAAATATTGGTGGTGATGCATTGCAAGCTTTTCTTTTAAAATCTGGGACAAGATACCTGTAGTAAAGCCCCACTTTAGTAATATACTACAATAGAAATACTAGACAGTGCCAGTAAACCAAGAAAAATAAAGAGGATTGGAAAAAACAAACTTACTTTGCAAAGATACGATTGTGCAGACAGGATACTCATTAAGAAACTACAAGTAAATGTTTAGACCTTTTTTCATTTCATGGCACATATGGCACATATTAAACTACTAAAATTCTACAGCACACAAAAAATATAATTTTGCTGATCTGACCAAAAAAAAAGTTAATTTTGATTCATTCATACCAGATGACTATTGTTGTGTTGGCTGATGTTGTTTGACAATCTAAGGGAAAATGTCAGTATCCCTGACTAAAAGTCAGGTATTGCATGTTTTAAAAAGTCTTTGAGTATTTTTTTAACATCAGTGTGCCATTTTTAACATCAGTATACAATTCAATTGACTTCTATACAAATGATAAGATTTAGAAAAAGATGCAATTTGCAGTGGCATCAAAATGCATTAAACCTTTAGGAAAAAAATCTAATAAAAGCTGCAAGATCTCTGAAGTTGATAAAACTTTTGAGACACATTAAATATCCATCTAAATAAGTGGTTCCCAAAGTGGAGCAATTTGATTTTTAAGGAAGGCAATTCAAGAATGAGTTATCAACACAATTTTTTGTGGTTCTGGGGGCTCATATACAGTGTATAAGTATATATTGTGACATTTATGCATTTCAGTTATATGTTTTGAAAATTTATTTGCTATTTTTTCATATTTCATATTTTTTAAAAAAATAATTTCTTAGTGATTTCTTCCTTGATACTTCAACTGTTCTTTTGTTCTTTTTTCTCTTTCATGGATCCAAGTTAATGGCCTCTAAGGCTTCCTCCACATGAATAAGAGTTCACTTTTTGAATAATAAGAATTATGTTACAGGAGGGACATCAGGATTTTAAAGATTCTTAGGTGGGGCATGCCAAAAAAAAAAAAAAAGGTTGGAAACCACTGATCTAAATGCAAGGATAAGTGCATAAAGGAATTAATATAGTAAACCGGTAATTGGTTCAAGAAATCCATGTAATTGCAGTAAAAAAATATCTCAGGTATTTTTTTATGGGACTTACATTGATTCTGAAACGTAGAGGAATGTTAGGAGCCTAAAAGAGGCAATATATTCCTGAACAATAAAATAGGTGGATTTGCCCTTTTAGTATCATAGACATTAACCTGTAATGAGTAAGACTGACTGTGTGTTCGGACTGGAGTAGTTGTCTAGAGCAGTGGAATAGAATGAGAAACAGATCCAGGAATACATGAATTTTTACATACATCAGAGGAGGCCATTGTCTTGAATGATGAATACACTTTTCAGTAAAAGTGGTGGCACAATAGGATATCCATATGGGAAACAATTTTTCCCCAGATTGCTATCTTACTATGTACAAATCAGTTCCACATTTATTAAAAACCTAGATGTGAACAGCAAAATTAACAGGCCCTTTGGAGTTAATATAAGAGAGCATCTCCCTAAGCTCAAAGTGGAAAAGAACTTCTGAAACAAGCCATAAATAAAAAAAAATGCTGTGAAGGAAAAGTTGATATATTCAAGTTCATTGACGTGATTTTGTTCATCAAAGGATACATAAGAATAACGACAAGACTAGCCACAAATTGGAAAAAGATATGCAAATTGGAGAAAAGATTTGTTACATCCGTTACACAATGTTGAATATCCAGAACACATAGCAAACTATAGTATAGGGAAGGAAAAAGAAAAATGTGTCAGAGACCAATAGAGACTTCAGAACAAGAAATCTAAATGGCTGCCAAAAATATATTTAGCCTTGTTAGTAATCCAAAATGCCAATTAATGTCCTTCAGATACTATTATACTGTAAGATTTTTAAACAAAGTGTGATGCAAAAAGCCTTGGTAATATGGTACTGGAGTGGAGTCTTACCCATTTCTGTAGGAGTTTAAGGGGAACAGCAAGTTGAGAAACAGGCATTATCTAAAGTTGAAGAAGTGTTCACCCCCACGAGCCATCGATGACACTCCTAGCTGTAGACTTGAGAACTGTATGACTAACTGATAAAATGAGCATGTCAATTACTATGACATAAAACAGTAATTTTGAAATATTAATATGCAAAGTCATCTTTTATGCAATGAAGTAGTTATTAATCCTCAGCAATATATTTTTTTTAAATTGATTTGTGATGAAATCATCTGCAAAGTCCTATTACTGCCTTTCTATGGGAAGTAGTCAAAGTAAAAGCAAGCATTGTTTTTAAAAATGCATGTATCTATTTTTTCCTATGGTTTCTCACACTATAACATTTTCTTTTCTTTTTTTAAAAAAAGAAAAGGTGGATTTTTTGTTGATCTCTTTGTAAGAGTATCTAACCAAGTTGCCGTCAACATGTACAAGCAGCTGGGCTACAGCGTGTACAGGACTGTCATCGAGTACTATTCAGCCAGCAACGGGGAGCCTGACGAGGATGCTTACGGTAAGCTGTCTTCTCTGGCAGAATCCCAAAGAGAAAGCTGAACATTCACATTCATTCTACCGACCGAAATATCTAATTATTTTAATAAACTTAAAATAATCATTTGTTGGACATAATGCTTTAAATTCAATCTATAATATTTAAATTTCCTTGAGCCTGCCTTTAGGAACCTACCACTAATTAGCTTATATTAACTAACCAATGGCTAGTTACTATGTTATTGTCTTACTATGTTACTTTAGGATTTCATTATGTTATTTACTAAGATTCTGTCAAAAGGACATTTGTATGAAGAGCTGAATCCCAGTTGGGCTTTGGTTATTAGCTCTGGTTTCTGGTGATTGAGTCTCACTTATATAAAGATATTTCCCTTAGATTCTGGTGCATGTTAGAATAAGGGACAAAACCTCTTATGGGAACTTTAAATTTGATATAAAATGTTTTGAAATTTGGGTACTTACTTAAATTAAATTTGCTTCCTAACAGATATGAGGAAAGCACTTTCCAGAGACACTGAGAAGAAATCCATCATACCATTACCTCATCCTGTGAGACCTGAAGATATTGAATAACCATGGGCAGTGGTTCTTAGGTTGATGCTCCAGATATTTTGTGGACAATATTATTTTCATTGGATGACATTAGACTTCTGTTAGAGAAAAGTACTCATTTAAAAGTACTTTAAAGACTTCAAGAAAATATTTTAATTCCTTGTTTCCAGGAAGCATCATCATACCTATTAAAGCTGTCCACTGTAATAAAATTCAGTCAGAAAGGCAGCTAAGTCAGATGGAAACATTCTACTATCATAGTTCATAATATTCACTATATGCTAGGAGGAAAAAAGCCCCAATCTCCTCCTAAATTCTATGCCTGAGAACCACTGCTACATAAATATAACTTTTTTTTATTTTGTATTGAACTATTGATTGAAGCTTTAAAACCATATATGAAATATTAAATCTAAGATGTATAATAAAGTACACTGTTGACTATAAATGTTTTTTGGAAGTTGATAAAACTAAAGAGAAAGCATCATTTAGGATATGATTCTTATTTATGTTTATAAAACATTTTAAAAATGCATACTTAAAACAGTCCCTGACCAGCACACTGAAGCTTCCTTATTTCAAAATAAATTCTTCCCAGTTACTTGTTCTAATACTATTCTAGATCCTTTAATACATATTTTGCTTAAATCATGCCTTTCAAATTATAAAAAGATGAGGTTTATTTATAGGGGAAAAAGAACTTAATTTCTAAAGGTCATGTAGTAACTAGATCATAGGCCAAAACATACTTTCATGTATAGTTTTCATCACATGTAATATCTGAAAACATAAGAGTAAAAGAAGTAGCTAAAGCAAACCCCACAGAAATGATTATTAAAGAGCTGTTACTTTTGAAAGGACTTATTTTGGTAGAGTTGAAAGAGTGAACAAGAAATGAATCCTTTTATGATCGAGAATGAATAACTTTTTCCTTCATGCATTACACTCTGGTACTTCCCAGTAAGTGTTGATTTTGCATTGATCAGATTTTTTTTCTTATGCATACATGCAACATAAACATAATTTTAGCTAGACTCTATAATCACTCACTTTGATTAGCATTTTGGCCTATTTTCATCTCACCCTTTGACACTGCACTTTGCCAAAGGATGTTAAAATCACAAATACTCCTCCTCACTGACTAGGTTCTGACAGAACCTGACCCCCAAGAGCTGACACTGGTCCAATGACTGAAAATGGTTGCCTTTTATCCTAACAGTCCTGTTTTATTCTACCCTTAAAAAAAATCAAACTACCTTATTTTCAAAATACAATTTAGTAATATTAACTAGCTTTTATTCCTGTGGGTAACATTTATTGCAAACAATAATAAATTTGCCCAATTAAAATTGCAGATAATAGATTTGCTAATTCTCCTTGCAGGTGAAAAACAGTCTTAGAGATACATAGTTCTAGTTCAATAACCTGGGCATTCAACAGAGCAAGAAAAGACAGGCTTAAGAAATACAGGCCAAGTTAAAGGAAACAATTTCAGATCAGTTAATTAAGGCAATTATTTTTTGCTTGAGAATGTGAGCAATGTATCATCCAAATGCTATTATCCTCCTTGTGCTATTGTTTCATTTAGCTTAGTAGGACACAGAGATACTTACTGGTACTCTTGTCCAGCGAGTTTGGGGAACATGCCAGCATTGTTACTATTAATTCATACATATGGTAGCATATCAAAGGCTCTGTGAAGCCTATAGAGAGACTTGGTTAACAAGGCTTAACCCTTAATTTAGGGTTTCCCAAACTTGAGTGATATTTTTCATGGCACACCTATTTCTATTTTTTAAACAAGCCATTACAGAGTTCAACCAGTCTGGCAAATTGATTAGGGCATAATTGAAATTTAACTAATAATGTTCTTGGTAAAAAAGATCTTGTTCAGAAATATAGTTGCTGTAAATTATTTTCCAATTAATATTTTGAAAAGTACTTAGTATAAATGGCCATGACAATAAGGATTCTAGAAGTTAAATTAATTCAAGTACATTCAATTCTATAAGGAATGAACATGTTTAAGCAAGTGGCCAGACATGAACATTTTACTGAGTGCTTACTATACATTAGGCATTTAATATTCAGAATGAGTTGGCAAGTATTTGCCGATTTTATGAGTGAAAAAATGAAAATAAAGGTTGAGTTATTTATCACTAAGTGGCACAGCTGGTAACAGAATTAAGTTAGTGTGACAGAAAACATAAAGTTAAAGATTTCAGATGAATGCATAAAATACCTTTATGAAAAAGACAGGTTAGAATGTAACTTGGAAACTTCTAGAAAAAAATTCTTTCAAAAGCCCGCATCTCCATCTAAAATCGATGCTAAATGTTACCTCAAATAGATTTCCTAATGCATTATGTGGATAAAAAACGTTAGGATTCCATCAAAGAAATCCAGCTTTAAAAAAAAATTCCTCTACTTGCAACCCCACCCACCTAACTAGCCCAAAGCATTTTTAAAAGAATTAAAAAAATAGCTGCCAAAGACTTCAATCAGTTCATAACTGGGTGAAATATATAAAAACTTACAGGAGTCAGAGTTCCAAACTATTAATTTATAAAAATAATAAAACATGAACAAGATCAGGATTCACTCTCATCAATGTCCTTATCTGGGTCTTGCTCAGCAGCCTCCTTTTCCTGTTGCTGTTTCTTCCAAAGTTTGGCCATGGCCAGGAGCTTGAGATTCGGTTGATTGGCAGCATCTTCAGGAAAGATGTAATCATAGTATTCTTCCCAGCCTGCATCAGACTGCAGGAAAGAAGTAAACAATTAAAGGATAAGCAAACATGCTGAAATACATTTCAGTTATTTGAAGTGGAAAATATTAACTGGGAAAACCAGAATTCAAAATCAACTTATCTTCATTTTACACAATGTCATCAAAGTCTGCTACAGAAAGAACAAGGGCCAGGCCTTGAAGACTGGGAGTGAAGGAGTAGCTCTGAATTGGTGGTGTTGCAAGTGTAACTCAGAGCTAAAAACCTGGTAGAAAAATATTCTAAAACTCTAAGAACAGCTCCTCTATAATTAACCAAGGAGATAGTATCTCTAACTCCATCTTGCAGTCTAAGATTTAAAAAATGTAAAGATTTACTATTAGTGTTTACCTAGCAGTGAAAGCCCTATATCTGCATAATGATTCCGAATCCCTGCCCTAACATCCCCACCTCCAGTGGGTCCCTGATTTCACTTCCTAAAGATCACTCTAGTTCCAGCTTCCACCTCCACTTGCTTTGCTTCCCACAGTCTCCTGACAGGAGCTCCAGCAATCTAGGCCCCGTGAGTCTCCTGCAGAAGGCGCCAATGATTGGGTCATGCCATTCTGTGCCTAAGAGCCTGCCTTCAGCCTTTTCTCCATTAGGTCCTATCTAAAAGTTGATTAGCCCGACTGCAACTGTCACCTACCCAGGCCTGCTCCCATTCTCAGATGTGCATATGCCGTGTAAAAGTACAGATTTCTAAGTCAGAATGCATTTCTGCTCCTTTAACATGAGATGACCAGCTCCAGGGCTCAGTTCTTACCCCATCATCAGCCTGGACCTTTCTTCTCTTTTTGACTTTCTCTGGCATGAGTTTGTCTACTCTTTCTTTATCTGACGTAGTTCCAAATTCATCTTCAAAGCTTCTCCAGGATTCCAGCAACATGAGTCTCTCTTCCTTCTCCTCACAGTTCCGCATGGTTTTGTTAGCCTCTTCATAAATTTGTCTGCATTTAGCCAAACTTCCTTCTTTCCCCGAAGACAACTCAAACTGTGCAAAACTGATCCATACCTTAAAAACAATTATTATAGAACCAAATTAACGTCGCCTAGAATACATAATGCAAAACCACAGATAACCTATAAAGCACAAAATACCTTGACATGTTGTGTCCGTTGAAGCAATCGTCGGTAAAGATTGCGTGTTCTTTCAGTTTCTTCCTGCTCAATTTCAAAGTCAATGTATGATTTCCAGAGCACCTGAGGAAGGTAACTTAATAGGTGAGTCTTGATATTTAAAAGCAATATTCCCCTATCCAAAGCACAACTTAACTACCATTCCAACCCAGAACATCCAGGAACCTAGGACTTTTATGAACAATCATAGAACAGAAGGCATATGGATAAATAACACTAGCATTTACAAGCTGCCACAAACTCTATATATAAGAGAAAAAGGCTTGGATTATTTTAGAATTTTCCAAATGCTGGACTTATCAAGAGGAGCTGAGAAACTTGCCAAGTCTTCCACCAGGCAGTCATAATTAAGTCACATACAACATAACTTGCAGGGCAAAAACAGGCCTACATTAGCCAGCATATAATGTTTTTACCTCCAATGTAAGTTCTTGAAATACTTGATTTCAACTCAACAAGCATGCAGTGAACAGCTGCCCACCTGCTGGTAAGTACAGCCTGTCGAGAGCACAAGGCTAAACAAGATGTGGTCTGGACTCCTGGGAGTTGGCAGTCTGTGGAGGAGCTGAGGCCAATAGACAAAACTAGTAATACAAAAAGCCCTGCCTGCCCCAAGGCAGTGGTGGGGCTCAGCGAACTATTAAATAAAAGGTAATATTAGTGCAAGATTAACAAAAAGGCTGAAAGAGTTTGGTGGTTCCTAGTAGATTCAACTGTTCTAGCTGTCGTTTGGCGCCACCTTGTGGCTCTAGCTTAAATATGAAGGGATGATTTCAGATCCTGCTGAAGGCAGGACTTCCAGCTACAGTAACAATAATTCCTGGTTTACTTAGACCCTCTTCTGCTAGCCCAATCCAGACAAAACTGTGCTAGGAGAATCCAAAAATGTGAAATCCCAACTTCCATCTCCCTTGATCTCCAGATGGGATTATCTCTGCCTGTCTTCTTGACTTTCCCATTCCCTTTAGCTTCCTGTTTGAGAATGGGAGGAACAGAGCCTGTCACCCACCCATTATATCCCAATTCAGTTTAGTGTCATAATGAGGCATTGCTGTGCTCTGGTATCCACCTAGAGCAGCGTTCGCCAACCTTTCAGACCTCACAGACCACCGGTTGGTGACCATTGACTTAGAGGGCTGCTCCACAGGTCTTTCTCTCTTCAAAACAGAAACGTCCTCAACTGAGTAGAAAAGACTGAAAATTAGATCTTTATGCTCTAAAATACATATTTAGCCGGGACCGGTTTGGCTCAGTGGATAGCGCGTCGGCCTGTGGACTGAAAGGTCCCGGGTTCGATTCCGGGCAAGGGCATGTACCTGGTTGCGGGCACATCCCCAGTGGGGGGTGTGCAAGAGGCAGCTGTTCGATGATTCTCTCTCATCGATGTTTCTAGCTCTCTATCCCTCTCTCTTCCTCTCTGTGAATGAATCAATAAAATAAAAAAATTAAAATTAAAAAAAAAACATATTTAGATGGTCATCTATTCTAAAGTAATACTACAAAGCTGTCTACAGCAAATTTATAT